TGGTATTCTTTGCTTTCTGCCAAGATCCATTTAACATTCGCTATAATGTCCCTAGTACCATGAGCTCTTCTAAATCCAGCCTGTGCATCTGGCAGTTCTCTGTTGACATATTGTTCCAAATGTTTTTGGATAATTTTCAGTCCGGAGTATTGCCGGAAAAAGAGTTTTTTGGGAATTGGGGAGGAGAGAGAAGTGGAGCTTTCAGATCTCCAAATTCTAACCCAGGTAACCTCAGGCCGCATTGGCCAGCATGTGTGCATACAACTACATACTTTTTAACTACATATGTTCCTTGAAAGGGCCTCAGACACAGAAATTCATAGCAAAGTAGTAGAGGGGCTCAAGTTGAATGCCAGGCCCTGATCTTCAACTTCAACCCAGTAACTATGCTTTCTAGTTGACGTAAAATTTATTTTATGATATGGTTAACAAGAATTTATCTTATGGCAAGGTTAACATAACATTTTTGGCAAAAATATTTTTCTCAGCAATTTTGAAAACTTCTGTTCTAGAGGAAGTCATTGGTGACTTTACCAAAGCTATAATCAAGACCATATGCTTTTTATGTCCCTGCTGCTCAGACCAAGAGCATCCAATTGAAATTATTTCATTTATAAACTTGAAATGTTTTATCGAAAAAAAAGTTGTGTGCTTCCAATTTTAATGAACTTAGGGGTTTAAATTCTTTTTAAAAGATCACAATTATTTGCTGTCTTAGTATTTTTATGATTGTGTTTCATTTCCTTTTAAACTTTAAACACAAAATGAACTTTTCCAACTATAAAAATGCTATTAATTGAATTGGCATATTCTAACTGTGTTATGAAGCTGTATTTGGAGGCAAGGTGTGCTTAGGAAAAATGTGAATTTTGCATTATTTGTGGGTGACAGCCTACAGTCTCTATCCTGATTATTCTGTCCCCTTTGGGTCAACAGAACACTTGATAACCTAAAAAGAAGTGCTATTATAGCATAAACACACAAAATCCTATACTAGGGATTTTGAACATTTCTTCATGTGCTTGTTGGCCATCTGAATGTCTTCTTTGGTGAAGTGTCTGTTCATATCCTGT